CAGAGATGAGGTCTCGCTGTCCAGGCAGGTCTCAAACCCGTGGGCTCAGGCAATCCACTCACCTCAGCCTCCCAAAGGCGCGGGATTACAGGCTGAGCCACCGAGCCTGGCCCAAGTAAATTCTTAAACCACATTGACTAAAAGTGCTGGATTTCAAAAAATTAAAAAACAAAAAAAAGAAGAAGGAGAACCCATATCCTTACCCTTAACCCTTTTACATCTTAACCTGCCATCTTCGAATGTTTCCATTCCAAATTAAAGACAGAATGATAACATAAGAATAAACTCAATATTATAAAGAAGCACAATACAATCCCTCCTTATCAGACAAAGACAACTTAGAAGGAAATAGAGTCGAGTCATCTGGTGTTTGGGACATGAGGCTACAAACATCCAAAGAAAACTCCCTTCAATCTTCTTTCCCATTAAGTATTTTTGGAAGAGCTACTATAAAATAGCAAAAGAACTAATGAATTTTTTTTTTTTTTTTTTTTTTGAGTTAGAGTCTCACTCTGTCGCCCAGACTGGAGTGCAGTGGCCGCTCCCGGCCACCACAACCTCGCCTGCTGGGCTCCAGCGATCCTTCCGCCTCAGCCTTCCAAGTAGCTGGAATTACAGGCATGCGCTACCACGCCCTGCTGATTTTTTGATTTATTGTAGAGATGAGGTCTCGCTGCCCAGGCGGGTCTCGAACCCGCGGGCTCAGGCAATCCACTCACCTCAGCCTCCCAAAGGCGTGGGATTACAGGCTGAGCCACCGAGCCCGGCTGAACTAATGAATTTAAAATTCATTTCTTCTCTTGCCCACATTTCTGTGAATGTACTAACAACCCTCCAATAATACCAACAATGATTCAAGTCAGTGATTTGCTCTACTGATTGGCAATCTCAAACTTCAAGCACAACAGTTGAGGCCATTCCTGTCCAGCTTCGGAACTACACGCTCTGTGACAAAGAAATGTAAATAAATGAGCAATATCAGGAGCTGAGATGGCAACTCAAAATGTAGACTGCAGGGGTCCTCCAATCCCCTTCCTGGCAGGCATCTTCATGTTCTACCAATATTCAAAGACCCCAAAAGTTAAGGGGATCACACCACTGGGTGGACATGAAAACTCCGTAAGGGAGAGAGCAGCAAGAAGGCCTCTGTGGATAACAGAGTTGGTTTTGGTCTCATAAAGCCCATTTGTTTGTTCTTTGCTGTGTTCCCCCTGCCCTTGACAGTTTCTACTTAGAAGAAGCAGGTTCTCAACATAAGGAAGTTTTTTGAACCTGACACAGACTTTGAAAAAAATTGTCTAATTAAATAGGAGTATGAGAGTAAAATAAGAGTTACAAGTGAAAAAAAGTAGAAAATACCTAGTTACGTTTTCATGGGAACAAAATATATACTCTTTTTTTAGATAGTTTTACAATTAGTACAAGACTAAGAAGAGACATTACCCTGGTTTCCTTTCTTGGTTTGTTTTTTGAGCCAGAGTCTCACTCTGTTGCCCAGGCTGGAGTGCAGTGGCACACTCACAGCAAGCCCAACGTCGACCTGCTGGGCTCCAGGGATCCTTCCACCTCAGCCTTTCAAGTAGCCAGAACTACAGGCACGTGCTACCACGCCTGGCTAATTTTTTTTATTTATTGTAGAGACATCTTGCCAAGTTGCCCAGGCTGGTCTCGAACCCGAGGGCTCAGGCAATCCACTTGCCTCAGCCTCCCAAAGTGCTGGAATTGAAGGCTGAGCTACCAAGTCCAGCCTACCCCGGTTTTCAATCAGATAGCACCATTTACAGGTACAGACAGGATACCTACATAGCCAAATATACCAATATTGTTGATGCCTCTTTCATAAATCTACCTTTACAAATATTTAAGAAAAAGAGAAACTACAGCACTCAAAAGATGTCCACATTATTTTACCACAGATCTAACCCATGCTAGTACATAACATGATATAACACGCCACATATGCCATCAACCAGGCTATCGCAGAGGACTTCGAAGTCTTGAATTCTGCCATTAAATTTCCCTCTTCTATGAAGTGGAGGGAGTACGTTAAACAGTTTTTTCCAGATCAAAATTTCCAGGTTAAATTTCTACAGCCTTAACACACTGCATCTTGGAGGCAACTGAGCAGTGGTGAATCAGAACACTGGATCGGCATAAGAACCGCAGGTTCTTGTGTAGATCCTGTAGTAAACTCCTGCAGCCAATTCAGCCACCTGTCGGGGGAAACAGCACCAGGAAAGCCAGGGGGAACTTCGGAAGGGTTACAAGGCACATATTTCGGAGTAGAGCCATCACCATTCTATCCTTCCTCTCTCCCCTCAGCAGAAAGGCAAACTATACAACTGAGGCCATGTGGGAGTAATGTGAATATAGGACAGTAAGATCCAATAAAAACATTCTACGATTCAAAGAGAAAACAGGTAAAAATCGTTGTGAAGCACACGAGAAGTAAGGAGGGAATTAACTTCCACTTACAGAACCTGAAGAGGATTTCAAAGAACTCAAACCTCAGAGAAGCAGCATGTAGCAACTATCACATTCCTTAGACTCAAGATGCTGGGAGACTGGGTGAGGAATGAGATTAAGTTGCAAAGAACAAAAATGGACAAAACATCCAGACGCTCAGCTCAGGATCCAGATTCCATAAGGAAAGCATATAGGCTAATTTCTTCAAAAAAAAAAAAAAGCAGAAAACAACCAATCTTAAGAATGTACTTTTATTGTAACAGCTCCTCAGCAAATAAACTGATGTGGCCCGCTGGTTATCCTAAAATAAAGTGAAGTACAGGGAAGGTTTCTAAGGAACTCGCTGGCAAAGTAAAACCTTCTACCAACATCAAGGCACTCTAATGGAACTGGTCCTCAAGTCAGAGGTGAAACGAGCATGATTTCTACTAAGTATAGAGACACGGGGTAAAAGCATATTCTCTTCAACCTAAAAGGGGATTCTCCTTATATTCGGATGGGTGATGTGTTGGTCTGGATCTAAATGTAAAGCATTCACAATGAAAAAAGGGTATTGAAGGGTTCTTAAATCAGGTGGGGAATTGAGAGGTAGTATGATGAAGGGAAGGAAAACTCCTGGGAGAACAAAAAGTGGAGGAAAAGGATCGAGGCTCAACATAAAGAACTCTAGGTGAAGAGGGCAGTCTACCACCAAAGGAGACACGGTCAAGTGTCCACGGTTCAAATGCTAAGCTAGTAACACATTCTGCCCCCCGGCAGGTAGCCCTCAAGGACAACATTGTCCCCTCAAGTCTGGACACGTCCTGTCCTTCTAAGTATCTACCTCCAAGAAGTCACTGTCAATCTACCCGTGAATCAGGAGGAGCAATCTCAAGCGATCAGCATCTCTCCCAGGAGGAGCAGACCTCCAGAATCTGGCTGGGCACCCTCATATCTGCACATTTCATTAACCTTGCAGTCAAATTGAAGTAGGTACAAAGAAATAAATCCAACAGGCTCAATTACTACCTATGCCAATGCTCTGTCACCATGTGGCTGTTATAAATCCCTCTAAGAATCCCGCTGGCAACTCCACTTGCAAAGTAACAAGAGGCCAGCCTAGCTTCCAGACCAGGAGAAACCACAGCACTGGCAAACATGAACCAAAAAGTGGCTTCCTCTCTTCTCACTGAGACAAAACCAGCAAGACCATCTCATATTTCATGCCAAAATGAAAATGATCAGGGTGATAAAGCCTGAAAATACAGGCTAATACCTAGAAAATAGCTCAATAATAACCTCAAATATACAAAAGAAAACAAAAGGGATCTGAGAAACTGAAATTAGTTAAGACATTTCTAAAGAGAGTATGTCTTCCCCTTTACCTGATAACAAGCTTGATGATCTAATTCACAAATACTATAGTAAATGAAGAGAAGGAGGAATCTACACAAAAACGATGAAAGAAAGGGGATTTTAAAACCCTTAAGGCACACAGCAGTTTGGACTATTTATTACTGGGGAAAACTGTCCCACAT